GCAGGTGCGGGAGAAGAGGTGGCGAAGCTCTCTGCAGCCCTGCCCTCTGGCGATAGTTTAGGCAGGTGGCCTGCAGAGAGGAACTTACAGTGGTCACATCTCTATCCCCAAGGCCATGTCAGGTAGCCTGCCATGTGTCCCCATCTTTACAAATAGTGAGTAATAGGTACACAGTTAAACAAGGCACCATGTAGAATGGGCTAAATTGCATGGAGTCCTCACTTCACTTGGAACCCAGGACAGATAAGGCCCTGCTCTCCACCCCACCCTCCCTTGCCTGGGAACAATGCAGCTGGCTGGCACAGGGAGCCATTTGCTTAGCAAAGCTCCAGGAATTTGTCCCCAAGGCAATTAAGATAAAGCGCCTCCAGCAAGCTGGTGGCCGTGGATTTATTAAGTAAGGCACCTTGGGATTTCTCCCCAGAGCAAACCTGTGTGCCTACGTGCCTGGCACCAGGCGAGGCACAATGCCCACCTCAACAGGTGGAACTTGGCCTTGGCTAGGAAGGATGCCTGGAGTCAGTAAGTCGCCGCAGCCCCTCGGGCCTCGCCAGTGGCATTTGCTCTTCCTCTTTCCCGTGGCCTCCGATTGTGGCTGACGTTTCTGTTGCTAGTATCGGTGTCCGTATCCTTTATGATTGCTCACCTCACACCGTTTGTGGGAAAAGGGAGGATCCGGTGCACAGAAGGAAGAGCAGCTGTGGTGGCTTGTTAATCAGTCTGTCTCTCTTTCCTCACAGTCGTGTCTCCACCTGTAGGCAAGTCCTCTGCCACCTTGCCAGCTGTGAACCCCGGTCCTGGAAGATGGCGGATGTGGCCAACAGCGAGCCCCCTGCCTCCCCGCTGGAGCTGTTCAACAGCATAACTGCTCAGGGGGAGCTTGTGAGGGCCCTCAAAGCCGGAGAGGCCTCCGAGGTGCGTGGTGGTTTGGGGCTTCGCCACACACATGGCTGAGCATGCTGGCCTGTGTCAGCCTGCGGAGACAGCCGTGGGTCCCCTGGCCTGGCCTTAGTCACAGGCATTCTGACTATAACTTGACATTTGGTCACCTTTATCAACAGGACTAACACGTGTGGTCTGAAGAGTCAGATGGTTCTCAAAGCCTTTGTGAAATACAGGAGCTCTGGTGGCGTAGTGCCTAAGGCACTTGACTGCTAACCAGAAGGCTGGTGGTTCAAATCTACCAGCCAGTCCTTGGAAGGAAGGTGGGGCAATCTACTTCAGTAGAGATACTGCCTTGGAAACCCAAGGAGGGGTTGCTGTGAGTCGGATCAGACTTGACGGCAGTACGTTTGGTTTTTGTTTTGGTTTTGTAGCATACAGAGTTCCTCCCACCCCACCCCATTTCCTGCTCCCCAAAACAGACATTTCAGTCCCTTTGACTGAGTCTTAGTAGGTCCTCCCCCATCTCTAAATACTATGCTGTTGTATTGCTCCCTGGTGATGTGTGTTTCACTGTGGGAAACACATACATGGGGAACACGTATGTGGTAGACACATACGTGGTAAACACATAGTAACAAACTCTTGCCTTTCCCACATCCTTCACGTGTTCCCTTCCCTGGGTCATTGTGTTGTGTACCCGTCACCATTATGTCCACTTCCCCTGCTGTATCACCTTAACAGAAGCCCAGTGTCCCCTGGGCAGAGGGTCCCTTCTCCCACTCCTGCCCACCTCTGACTCCTCACTGATTTTGTTTAGGGCTTTCTCTGGGGGAGTCGAGGACTTGCCACTTTTACTCTCACGCCTCACCCCTCCATCTCCCAGTGGGGTTAGCGTTGACGGTGTTTTGACTGTAAGCGCTGTTGACAGCTGAAGTGCGAAGCCTGTGGGGTTCTTTCTCTCTCCTGCCTGACTTGTGTTTTCTCTGGAGCTCACCCCGGTCTGACTCCCTGGTGGCTTGCTGTTTGTAGGACGAGGACGCTGCCTTTCCAGATTCTCCCCCAGTCGGATGAGTTCGCTCTCGGCGCACACACGTCCACCAGTCGGTCGAGTTTGTCTTCTTGAGGCGGCCTTTTCTGGGGCTCTGCACCTGCTTTGCTCTGGACAGGCACGCTAGCCACCCCTCAGGATCTCCTTCCACAGCTGCCCAGGGGTCCCCCCACTTCTCTGGCATATCCCGTTTCCTCATCCTGGGTCTTCCTCTTTGGCTTCCTCTTTGTTTGATGGAGCAGATGTCCCAGTGGTTCCTCAGGAAGGGAGTGCATAGGGAATAATTTTTTGAGCTCTCACATGTGTAGAGGTATCTTTATTTTGCCTGATACTTGACTGATGACCAGACTAGGTGTAGTATTCGAGGTTGGCAGTAATTTCCTCAGAGTTCTGAAGCCACTGCTCCGTTATCATCTAGCATCTCGGGTTGCAGTTGTGAAGGCGGGTGCCACTCCTTGCGTTTCCACTCTGCAACTTTGCAGAATCTTCTTTGTTCTGAAACTTCTTGGGGTCTGAGCATCAGAATGTGAAGCGGAATGTAGTCTCGTGTCTGCCTTTCTTCAGAACATGCGTGTTTTTAAGTTCTGCTTTGGTGTCCTGATCCATGTCAGATGGAGAAGAACATCAGTAGGCCAAGCCTATGTGTCAGGCCAGTTTGCGGGGTGTGGGTCCACTCGGGCAGCTTACATATTGACTCTCAGAGTGCCCCCAGCTCCATGCCGAGTTCAAGTGGGGTGTGGAGAGTCAGCAAGCAAGTGATTGAAGGGCCCTGAGTACAGTCTGCTTCAGAGGGAGCCCCTGGGAGTGCACACGCTTAGCACACTTGGCTGCTAACTGAAAGACTGAGCGTTTGAGTCCGCCTAGAGGGGCGTCACAAAGGGCCTGGAAGTCTGCTGCTGAAAGCCACTCGTTGAAGACTGTGGAGCACAGTTCTACTCTGATGCACAGGGGGTCACCAGGAGTCAGAATCGACTCTACATCAGCTGGTTTCTCACTGGTGCATCAACAGAAGGCAGTTCTTCCCCTTGGTGGCCCAGAAGATCGGAGTTTGTTCCAGGCCCTGAGCCAGCACCACAGGGAGGAGGTGAGGAAAGCACGCTGTCCCAGCCAATACGGGCAGGCATCTCATCTCTTACATGAGTGGTAGCCACGGCTGTTGATTCCACACATTGAGTCATTTTAATGGCAAATCTCTGCTAGTTTCGTTTGAAATGCACATCTTTGTGTTGAAGCCCACTGCAGAATAACAGTCTTCTCGGGCCCAGGTCAGGGGCCCTGGTGGCACCCTAGCCAAGCGCTCAGATGCTAAATGGAAGGTTGGCAGCTCAAACCAACTGCCTCCGTAAAGATTACAGCCTGGGAAACCCTGCAGGGCAGTTCTGTTCTGTCACATGGAGTCGCTGTAGTCGGACTCAACCAACTTGACACAGTAACTATGACAGCCAGGCCCAGGCGCTGTCCTGAGGAGCAGCGCATCCTCTGTGTGGAGGCTGGAGCGCCGTATACTCCCAGAGAGGCCAGGTGACAGCACATCAGATGACAGCACATCATGGGGGACTCCACGTGAGGATGCTTGCAGCTCACTTGGCGACCCCATTGGACCGGGGCTGTTCTTGAGCTCTGATCCAGGAGGCCAGTTACTGAGGTGCATTGTGACTCCTCTGCTTACCGAAGCCTGCTGTTGTGAATGCCAGGCTGCCAGGGATGAGGGCGACTACGAGAGATTTCCACAGAACCCAAGGGTCCATTTTACCTTGTGCTTCTTTTCTTAAGACTCCTTGTAAAAGGGCCGACGTGAGAACACTGCAGATAGCTCGGCCGGCCACCACAATGCCAGGGTGTGAACACCACAGAGAGCTCGGCCAGGCACCACGATGCAGTGGTATGAACACCGCAGATAGCTCAGCCAAGCACCACGATGCAGTGGTGTGAACACTGCAGAAGCTTGGCCGGGCACCATGATGCAGTGGTCAGAACACTGCAGACAGGTTGGCCAGGCACCACAATGCCAGGGTGTGAACACCACAGAGAGCTCGGCCAAGCACCACGATGCGGTGCTGTGACTGGTCCCAGTGATTTACCCCCTTCATGTCCAGCTCAGAGCTTTCGTCTTTGTCCTGCCTTTGTTTGTGTTCTTTTTCTCACTTGTGGTTTGGGTGGAAGTTTACAGAGCAGATTGGTTTTTCCGACAATAATTTTCACATGCTTTGCGACGTTGATTGCAATCCCCACAGAGTAACCTCACTCTTCCCACTTCCTCCCTGTGTTCCACATTCCCTCCATCCTTCTTTCCATCCCTTCCTGCCTTCTGAGCGTTATCTCTGGGCAAATCCTGCCCTTTCAGTCTCCCACGGCTGACTGTTCTAATGACCACATGCCTCCCTGGTGTTACTGTTCACCTCATAGGCCTGTTTATCATTTGGTTGAAAGTTGTTGAACCACAGGGGTGAGTTGAGTTGTGGCCTTGAAGTATGTCAAAGGGCCTTAGTCTTGGGGGTTCCACCAGCCTCTATCAGATGAGCAAGCCTGGTTCTTTTTAAGATTTTGAGTTTTATTCCACACTTTCCTCCCATTCTGTCCAGGACCCCCTCTTGTGATCCTTCCATAATGGTTGACAGTGGTAGCCAGGCACCATCTAGTTCTGGTCTCAGGGTCATGGAGGCCGGCGTTCACGTGGTCCATTAGTCCTCTGGACTGTCTCCTTGCATCTTTGATTTTCTTCACTCTTCTTTGCTCTGGATGGGAACAGACCAGTAGTTGCACCTTGTTCATTTTCTTTATTTCTGTAAACTGCTGCCACCATCCTTGGTGGAGTCATTGGTTCAGTTTCCATGAGCACACGTCTCGACCTGTGTGCAACACAAAAGCCAGCTCCAGCGTAGGGCTCAGTGTGACCTGACAAGTGGGTGATCACACGTGTCTCTGCCTCGGACACACATCTCTGCCATCGGTGACTGTTGAGAAATCTTCAGGCTGTGAACTTCATCACTGACAGCAGTGTGTGTTGTGATATTACGAGGTGCTTGGGGTAGGGGAACAGGGAGGGGAGCTGCTTTCAGGCCCACACTTGCCGTGAGACAGTGGGAAGCCGTTTCCCCTCTCAGTCACCGTCTTCAGCTTGAAAAGAGCAGTGATGACAGCCCCACTCTTGGGGCCCCTGGGAGACTGGACAGCGTGACCGGTGGTGAGCATTGAGCTCAGTCCCTGTCACATAGTGGCTGTCTCAGTCTCCCAGAGCTGCTGTAACAGAAAGACCACAAGAGGGCGGCTTTACAGAACAGACATTTACTTCCTGACGGTGGAGGAGGTTAGAAGTCTGGATTCAGACGCCGGCTCTAGGGGAAGGCTCGGGCTGTGTCAGCCTGCAGGGCAGTCCTTCTGTAACCCCATATTGCTCAGCTCCTTGTCCATCCTCACAGGGGCTTATGTCTTCCCGCTTGTGTTCTCCTTTATCCCTGTTCATCTGTGTGTTTGATATTTCACAAGAGATTGGATTTAGGGCCTGCCCTGCTCTGGTGAGGCTTCATAAACATAACAAGGAAAATCTACCCCCAAACAATTACATCCACATGTTTGGGTGTGTTGTGTGCTGTCAAGTCGATTCTGACTCACAGCACCCCTGGAGGACAGAGTAGAGTTGCCCCATAGGTTTTCCAAGGCTATAAATCTTTATGGAAGCACACTGTCTCATCTTTCTCCCATTGAGCAGCTGGTGGGTTTGAACCACCAACCTTTCGGTGAGTGGCTGAGCCTTAACCACTGTGCCACCAGAGCTCCTACGCCAGCAGTATTTGGGGCCATGTATTTTGGGGCCACAGTTCAGTCCATGCAGCAGGCAAACTTTGGCTGGTAGGGCGTTTTCACCTTCACCTGCATTTGTTTGGTTCAGGATGAGATTGACACTGCGGTAAAGATGCTGTTGTCATTGAAAATGAGCTACAAAGCGACGGTGGGAGAGGATTACAAGGCCGATTGCCCTCCCAGAAACCCGGCCCCCGGACCCGAGGAGGACTTTGTGGACCCGTGGACGGTGCAGACGAGCAGTGCGAAGGGCATTGACTACGACAAGCTCATTGGTGGGTCGCCCTTCCTCCCCGGAGAAGTCATACTGTCTTGTCAATTGCACCAGTGCCTTCCAGTTTTGAGTTAGGCCGATCCTGGTCAAGCTCTAATGCCAAGAAAAACATAGATCCTGAAATGTTTTGGTTGTACATTATGTTCTTAGAAAATTGCTTTGAAAATAACAATGTAAAACCTATACTGAAACAGTGATTGAGAGTGGACTGCTTAATAGAAGCTTTGGGCATTTTTTGAGCACTAAGGACTTCGGAAAGACCTATTGAAATGGTCATCATTGCAGTCATTTAAATCATCCCTTGTTTGGCGATTACGAGTCGGTCTCGGTTTACTTCAGCTTCCCCTGCAGCAGATTGATTATGGAGCTGAAAGGCTGACATCAGCTTAAGAAGGATGATAGGCAGCAAGTCATCGTTGTAATAAGCCCTTCTCCAGCAGTCCTCCTCCCCGGGAGACCACTGCCATGCTGTTGAAAAGCCCTGACTCTGGGACCTTTGATACCAGCAAGGAGGCAGCAGAGCTGGAATCTAAGTCAAAGCTGTTTCCATGATTTAAGGATAGACCATCATGGAAGAAAAATTCGTGTGAGGGCAGGCATAAGTTCAGTTCAGCAACTGAAGAATATTAAAAAATTATGGTTGTCAGTATATATAAATTATACCTTAGTAAACGTAACAGCTAAACATGGGGGGAGGAGTTGTTAGAAGATGCTGAGCTAGTCCACATTCTGGTATGTTTCCCACCAGAATGCAATCCCAGGCACAAAGCATTTGATTCTGTGACTGTTTTCTGGTTTGCTGGCTGTGAGCTGTTGTCACCGGTCACGTGGAAGACATGTTGCTTTCTGTCGAGGAAGAAAGACTGGTCACTGACGGCGTCAGAGGTTTAGGTCTCTCGACCTTGTGCCTGGAGCACTGTCTTTCACTTCACCATGTCAGTGATGCCTGGTCACCAGACCCCCTGCCCTGTGAAAATCATCTCTTCTTTTTCCAATTTCTTTTTCCCAGTGCGGTTTGGAAGCAGCAAAATTGACAAAGAGCTAATCAACCGGATAGAGCGTGCCACCGGCCAGAAGCCGCACCGCTTCCTGCGTAGGGGCATCTTCTTCTCGCACAGGTCAGCCCCTGGCTCCTCCCACCCGCCTCACCCCTCCTCTGTCGGTGCAGAACATCTCCGAGGGCTCTTCTCTGAGGCCACCCGACCCCATGGGAAAAGCGGTGGCGGTTGTCAGCGACTGGGATCCACCTAAGCATGTCCCTCACCCTCTGGCCTTATTTACCCATTTGTAAACTGCCCACCTCCCATGGCTGAAGTCAAGAGTTCATAACAGATGAGATTCATGCCAGGTTGTAGGCTGTGAATTATAAAATGACATAAACACAAGAGATGAATAGAGTTGCTGTCTAAGCTCACCATTTCCCACACAATCAACAGTTGGCTTCCTGAAATTATATACCCCTTCCTCCTATTGTGCTTGGCTACACATGAGCGATATCAAAAGAGAAACTAATCGAGTGTGCATGGAGCAGAATGTCCCTGGCTTAAGCCATAAATTCCACGCAGATAACATCAGAAAACAGGCAGGTTCCTGCTTCTCCCATCACGCAGATGGCCCAGCTCAGGGCAGGCCCGCTCTCCAGGCTCTGCTCAGGAGTCAGTGGTCCGAGATAGGGTTGTTCTGTTCCGGCTCACTTCACGATGACAGGAGAGCAGCAGGTCGGCCCAGACCCTCAGATCCTCCCTGGAGGGAACGCCAGGCCCCACTGAGCCCCTTTCTGGGTGGGATGTAAAGGAAGGCTTTTCTCTTGATTGAGGTGTGATTCACATAGCATTATGTTTACAAGGTTCTGCAGCCATCACTGCCATCTGATTCTCATCACCCCAAGAATAAGCTCTGTACTTCTTAGCAGTCACTCCCTCTTTCCTCCTGCCCCAGCCCCCGGCCACCACGAATCCACTCTGTCTCCCTGGACATCTCATATCAGTCGACTCATACAGTGTGTGGCCTTTTGTGTCGGGCTCTTTCACTGAGCATCCTGTTTCAGGGTTCTTTCATGTTAGAGCATGTGTCAGAACTCACTCCTTATGGGTGAGTAGCATTCTAGTGTGTGGATCTATACGTTTTGTTTATTCACTCATCAGTTGGTAGGCAGTTTGGTTTGTTTCCAGTTTTGACTGTTGCAAATAATGCTGCTGTGAACATTCCTATACAAGTTTTTGTGTGGATGTATGTTTTCAGCTCTCGAGTATACATATAACTAGAAGTGCAGTTGTTAACTTGGGTGGTAACTCTCTGTTTCATGTTTTGAAGAACTGCCAGTCTCTTTCCGCAGCAGCTGAAACATTCCCATCAGCGATGTGTAAATGTTCCAGTTTATGCACGTCCTTGACAGCACTTGTTATCATCCTCTTTTGTTGCAGCCGCCCTGATGGGTGGGAAGCAGTCTCTGTCTCATTGTGGTTTTGATTCATGCTTCCCCAGTGGCTAGTGACTTTCAGCATATTCTCATGTCCTTATTGGTCATTTGTATGTCTTCTTTGGAGAAACATCTGTTCAAATCTTTTGCCCACTTTTTACTTGTGCTATTTGTCTTTTGATCGTTGAGTTGTTGAAGTTCTTTGTACATTCTAGATACTAGTCTCTTGTCAGATACGTGATTTGTAAGTATTTGCTTCCATTCTGTAGGTTGCCTTTTTATTTTCTTGATAATGTCCTTTGGAAAGGACACAGTTTTTAATTTTGGTGCATTCTAAATTACCTGTTTTTCCTTTGGTTGCTTATATGCTTGATGTCATGTCTAAGAAACCATGGCTTTATCTCAGGTCACGAAGAATTGCTCCTATGTTTTCTTCTAAGAGTTTTATGGTTGTAGCTCTTATGTTTAGGTCTCTGATCGTTTTGAGTTAGCTTTTGTATATGGTGTAAAGTGGGAGTCCAACTCATTCTTCTTCCTGTGGAGATCCCCTTGTACCAGCACCATGCGTTGTATTGTCTTGGCACCCTTGGTGAAAACTAGTGGACCGTGAATGGAGGGCTTTGTGTGGGCTCTCAGGTCTGTTCCATTGATCTTTATATCCATCCTCTGCCAGTACCACCGTCTTGATTACTGTAGCTGTGTAGGAAGTTACAAGATTGGGAAACGTGGGCCCTCCAACTTGGTTCTTCTTCTTTAAGATTGTTTTGGCTCTTCTGGTCTCCTGCATTTCCATCTGAATTTTATGATAAGCTTGGCAGTTCTGCAGAAGGAACAGCTGAGATGTTTATAGATAGCACTTTACATCGGAGGATCGGTCTGAGGAGTGTTGCCGTCTTCACAATGAGTCCTACCACCCATGATCATGGAGGGTCTTTCCCACGATCTGGGTCTTGTTTAGTTTCTTCCCATGATGCTTTGTAGTTTTTAGTGCACAAGTCTTGCACCTCCTTGGTTGAATGTGTTCCTAAGTATCTGACTCTTGTTGATGCTGTTGTCAATGGAGTTGCTTTCTTACTTTGATTTTTGGAGTGTTCATGGCTCAAATACAGAAATACAGTTGATTTTTCATATTAGTCTTATAGTCTGCCACCCTATGGAATTCCATTTAGTAGCTCTAATCCTATTTTTGTGGATTCCTGAGGACTTTGTATATACGAGGTGATGTAATCTGTGAGCAGAGAAGGTATTATGTCCTCCTTCCTGCTCTGGGTGCCTTTTACTTGTCTTGCCTTTCTGCAAGAAAGTGGTGAGAGTGTACATCGGTGTCTTGTTCTTGATCTTAGGGGGAAAACTTTCAGTCTTTCACCATAAAATATCTTAGCTGAGTTTTTTTAATTGTGATTTGGGTGAAAATTTACAGAGCAAATTCACTTTCCATACAGCAGTTCACATACACTTTGTCTCATGACATTGACCACGATTACCACAATGCAACAGCTCCCCTCCCACTTCCTCCTGATAATTACCTCTTCCCTGTGTCCATCCCTCCATGCACTCCTGCCCCCTGAGCTGTCTCCCTGTGCATAAGCAGCCCTTCTTTCTCCCATGATTGTTCTCTCCAAGGAGTCACACACGTCTTTTATTAGGTTGAGGAAATTTCTTTCTATTTCTAGTCTGTTCAGTAGTTTTACCATGATTTTTGTCAAATGTTTTTTCTACATCTGTTAAGATGATAAGAAACTCTGGTGGCACTGTAGTTAAAGCATTGGGCTGCTAACCAAAAGGTCAGTGGTTCAAACCTACCAGCTGCTCCACAGGAGAAAGATGAGGCGGTCTGCTTACATAGAGATTTACAGCCTTGGAAACCCTGTGGGGCAGTTCTGCTCTGTCCTATCTATAGGATCTCTATGAGTCACAATCACATCAATGGCATTGAGTTTGGATCTATCTTCTATGAAGTGGTTCATTATATTGGTAGGTTTTTATATGTTGAACCAACCTTGCATTCCCAGGAGAAATCCTACTTGGGCACTATGTATAACCTCTTATATGTTGTTGAATTTGGCTTACTAGTTTTTGTTGAGGGTTCTGGGGTCTGTATTCATAAGGGATTTTGGTATGTAGTTTTCTTATGATGACTTTGTCTTACTTTGATATGAGGGTACCTCATCAGTTGGGTTGAAAACTGTTCCCTCCACTTCCATTTCTTAGAAGAGTTTGCAAAGGATTGGCGTTAATTGTTCTTCAGACGTTTGGTAGAATTCACCAGTGAAGCCGTCAGGTGCTAGGCTTTTCTTTGAGGAAAGGTGACTTTAATCACTAAGTCGGTCTCTTGGTCTCTTGTTTGGTCTGTTCAGGTTTTCTATTTCCTGTTGAGTCAGTTTCAGTAGTTTGTCTGTTTCATTAGTTACCTAGCTCATTGGCATATAATTGCTCGTAGTATCCCCTCGATCCTTTTTATTTCTGTGAGGTCAGTAGTAATGTCCCTTCTTTCATCCCTTTATTTCAGTAATTTGAGTTCTCTCTTTTTACCTTGGTCAGTCTCACTAAAGGGTGTCCATTTTGCTGATCTTAAATCAGAGTGTTTTAACTCAGTATTTTATGGTTCTCACTGTCCAGGTGACGTTTTTTTATTGCCTTGGCTTGGGGAGCCGTATGACTTAAGGCTTTTGCCCATTCTCAAATCAGGTTGTGCCCTTCTGATTCATTAGTTTGTCTTCTGTTAATGGGCATGGTGATCGTGCTCTGCGTGAGTGTCGGGGAAATTAAATGAGGTTTGCCAGACTGTCGAAGGCGCCCTGGTGGTGCGGTGGCTAAGCACTCAGCTGCCAACCAAAAGGCCAGCAGCTCAGACTCACCAGCCGCTTCATGGGAAAAGATGCGGCAGTCTGCTTCCGGAAAGAATACAGCCTTGGAAACCTGATGGGACAGTTCTGCCCTGTCCTGCAGGGTCGCTGTGAGTCAGAATCACTTGATGGCAGTGAGTTTTATCATGAGGTGGAGCGTTCGGCAGCTGCCGGTTTCCTCACTGGCTGAGCGATTTCCCGCCTGCACCTGCTTCCGCAGACGCACCTCGGCCTCACGCTCAGCACACGTTCATCTGAGTGATCAGGAAGCGTCCGTGTGTCGTCTGCGTGGCCTTTTCTTCTACAGCCCCCCAAAGTCTGATTTTTGGTATGAGAAACAAAGGGCTCTTTTCTTCCAATATTATGTTTTTCATTCTTTCCTTATTTTAAAAGTAGATGATCATTTCATGAAAAACAAAACAAAACAAAATGTAATAAGCACAAAGCACAGATAAACCCGTTATAAACGAAACCCGTTGACGCTGAGTCAGTTCCGACTCATAGGGACCCTACAGGACAGCGCAGAAATGCCCCCGGAGCGTCCAGCACTGTCCTCTTTAGAGAACCAGACCACCACATCTTCTCCCAAGGAGCAGCCGGTGGGTTTGAACTGCCAACCTTTCAGTGGGCGGCTGAATGCTTAACCACGGCGTCACCAGGGCTCCTGAGAATCAAGCCCAGAAGCCATTTCAGAGAAGGTTGTTGACATTTTTGTATTATGAGCACCAAAGTGGCAAACACTGTTACCCAGGTGGGGTATGGTCTGTCTTCATTTTTCGTTTCCGAGTGAGCTTTCCAGGTGCTGCCCAGTCGACCCAGACTCATGGCAGGCCGCCTGTGGCAGACTATAGCCTGCTCCATGGGGATTCTCAGCGCTGAGTTTTCACAAGTAGATCACCAGGCCTTTCTTCTGCAGGGCCTCTGGGTAGACTCGAATCTTGAGCCTTTCTGTTAACAGCCGAGCACATTAACCGATGGTACTACCTAAGGACGACTGAGTTCTAGGGCCTGGATATGTTTCTAGGACGATCCCAGCATCTCCCTTTCTCCTTTATCCTCTAGAGATATGAATCAAGTTCTTGACGCCTATGAAAATAAGAAGCCCTTTTATCTGTACACGGGCAGGGGCCCCTCTTCCGAAGCCATGCATCTCGGTCATCTCATCCCATTTATTTTCACAAAGTAAGTAATGTCCTCGTTTTTTCAGTGGGCTGAGCACCTGGGTGACAGCCATGTTTGGAAATGATGAGATGGTCCTGTTGTCGGTGCCCATCAGCCAAGACATCTCCAGCAGTGTTGGTGCTGCCCTGGCTTGTGCTTACCTGTCCCTGGGCTCACGGCAGAGTGGGGGACGCAGTGGCGGGTGTTCTGGTTCCCTAGCGCTGCTCTGACTTTACAAACAGCAGTTTATTCTCTTACAGTTTGGAGGCTTTAAGTCCAAGTTCAGAGTGCCAAACTCTAGGGGCTGGGTGAAAGCCCCTCAGCCTTGGGCTTCAGCTCTGCCTCCAGCTTCCTGCCCACTGAAGCTGGAGGCTTTTCTTCACTCAGACAGCTGCTGGCTGCTGAGGCTGCCAAGCCCAGGGTTGACAAGTAAAAAGCCACAGGCCCAATATTACCATTGAAAGTCCTAAAGTTGGCAGAGCATGGCAGGCTGCTGAACAACAACACGGGTACGTGCAGGGTCCAAGTGTGCCATAAGCTGGAGACCATTCCCAAAGCTGCTGTTTATATACGGGAAGCAGACCACATACCCAAAGGTAGCTACTCAGCTGCTTGTGGTAGATCCCACCATAGAGTTGATTGCCAGTCTCATCATGAAGAATAACTACCACCGGCTGCCCAGCCACTCAACCAGGCCAAGTTGACATACAAATTTAACTACCACACAGAACTCACACCAGAGGAAGAGATGCAGTCAGTCACGCTAGAAAAAGGGGCGCAGTGGGAGGGCTGATGGCAGAGGAGGGGCGCAGTGGGGGAGGGCTCACGCTGGAGGAAGAGACGCAGTCGGGGAACTCAGTAGAACAAGGGGCATGGGGAGGGCTCATGCCAAAGGAGGGGTGCAATGGAGGGCTCACAACAGAGGAGGGGGCACAGTGGGAGGGTTCACACCAGAGGAGTGGCACAGTGGGAGGGCTCGTGCTAGAGGAAGGGATGCAGTTGGGGAGCTTACACTAAAAGAAAAGGTGCAGTGCAGAGCCCCGTCCTGTCTCACATTGCCCCTTGCCCATGAGACCGTAGGCAAGTCACTGCCCAGAGATGCGGTTTCAGCAGCTGCCAAGTGGGAGTCCTTGTGATTGCTGGTAGAATTACCGTCGGGCCTCAGAACAGAGCGTGTTGGGCAGCTAGCACAGAGCCTGACCCACAGAGCCCTTCCTCAGCAAAGAGTAACCATTGGCCATCAGCAGTCTCCAGTCCACAGCACGGCGAGGTCATGGGATCCATCGGCAAGGAAGTTTTAACATACGTTGCTAAGTGGGAGCTGTGTTTTCGGATGATGCAAAATGGCATTTTCTGCGGGCAAAGAGATGTGCACTTTCTTCTCCTGTGCATCTCAGGTGGCTGCAGGATGTGTTCAACGTGCCCTTGGTCATCCAGATGACGGATGACGAGAAGTACCTGTGGAAGGACCTGACCCTGGACCAGGCCTATGGCTATGCTGTGGAGAATGCCAAGGACATCATCGCCTGCGGCTTTGACATCAATAAGACCTTCATATTCTCGGACCTTGACTACATGGGGTAAGCGGAGAGCACTTGGTTGCCTCTCGAATAAATAGCTCATTTGTCTAGTCATCAGCTACGTTGGACACATCCCGAGTTGCATCAGGTCTGGTAGCTGTTTCCTGAAACGTTCTGCCCTGAGTCGTTTGCTGGTTCACTTCCTTAGTCCTGAAAGTGGCAAGTTGTCTGTATGCAGGGGAAGGCCTGGGCAGTGCCAACACTGAAAGATGCTGTGTTGTCTCACACTTGTACACACAGGAACGTGACGGGCTAGGGCATCGTGGCCTCACAGGCTTTCACACTCTCTTGTGATGGGGCGTTCTTCTGTTTCTGGGTCCTTTGCACACGTGGTAAGCATTGTGCAGTTATGCTGTCTCTGTTTCTAAATGTCCCTGTTTCCTCAGAGAGGAACACAACTCATGAGTGACACAGTTCACCATGTCATAGGGTCACTTTTCAAATCAGCTGCCTAGTGGGCAGCTTCATTCTGAAGTGTTTTTCCCAAATCTTTGAATGTACACCTCCACAGCCTTGACAGTTTGCCGCCATGTTCTTGACCATACACCTCCATGGTCTTGAATGTACACCTCCATGGTCTTGACCATATACCTCTATGGTCTTGACCGTTCACCTCCATGGTCTTGAATGTACACCTTCACGGTCTTGACCGTACACCTCTATAGTCTTGACCATTCACCTCCGTGGTCTTGAACGTACACTTCCACAGTCTTAACCATATACCTCCACAGTCTTGACCGTACACCTCTAGGGTCTTGACCGTTCACCTCCACGGTCTTTGACCATATACCTCCACGATCTTGACCATTCACCTCCACAATCTTGACCGTACACCTCCACGGTCTTGGACTCCATCCCAGATGATCCCAGGTGACTACCCAGAAGGGTTAGAAGACTTTGGTTGGCGGCCCTAGGACAGATATGTTTCAGCTCGGCAGTACATGTCGTGCCCCAGAGGCATGGACCTCTCCGGCCTGGCGACGCCTGTAGGGCACTGCACACCAAGAGTCCACCTTGCTGGGTGTGTGTCGCCCTGGGCTGTGCTCTGAGCCCTGAGGGGCGACCAGCTGTCTGAGGGCCTTGTGCAGTGTCACCTCCTGTCCTGAGTCTTGACAGCTGTGTCTCGGCTGTACATTCCGGGGGGGTCCTGAGGGAAGCCTGGCTCTCTCCCAGCCAGTGAAGGAGCAAAGGGTCTGCTTTCACTGCTGGTATTTTATCACTTCTCCTGTCCTGCCATGTGACACAGAGGCACTGTGATGCCCTTAAAGGAGTGTGACCTTTGAAGGGAAACTGGTCCAGGTTCCAGCGCTGTCTCCTCTGGGTACTGGCTGGGTGTTACTGCAAGCCCCACCACCGCCACCCCCAGTATAGAGCAGGCGCACAGATAGTGGGTGTCTCACTGTTGAGATGTCCCGGCATTCTCATGCCCTTCTCTCACCCCGGCCTGCCAGCAGCCTGAGTGCCGCCTGCTCCTCAGCCCGGCTCTGCTGTCCTCAGCACAGCCACACACTGCTGCTGACACCGCCCTGTTACAGGACCTTTCTTTGCAGCCTCTTTACGCCCACCCTGCCCACCACATCCTCCAGAGCCCCCCACAGCCGGTGATCTCACCAAAGCACAGTCTGACCCTGCCCCCACTCGCATCCCTTGCCGGTTATCCATCTTCTTTAGGGTCAAGTCCTCGCTTTCCTCCTGGCACACAGGCTCTGTGGTCTGGTTCCCTCCAGCATCACTGCCCCTCCCACAGACGGAGCAGTCAGGCTCCACCCCCTCACCTCACCACATGCTTTTCTCTGCCAGAGCCCAGCCCTTCCTGGCCCTCCACTCCCTCATGGCCAGTGCCTCCATCTTCCCTGAAAGACACCACCAAGCATCACCTCCTCCCAGCAGCTTACCCTCCCTGCGGCCAGAACCAGACACCCCTCTCGGCTCCCAGCATCTGACTTCACCTCTGCCGTATCAGGTGTAATGTGGGGGTGCCCACTGCCAGGCCTCCTCCATGAGGCTGAGGAGTCCTGGGGTGCCTCTCTGAGCTGGTCCTTTCTAACCCTTCAAACACAGCAGTGAACAAAACTGACAAGCTCCTGTCTCACTCCCTTCCATGTCGCAGAGAAACAGCAGAGCACACATAACAATCCATGAAGGGTGCATGTACACATGATGGGGGTGATTGAGCCTTTGAACAGTCCGTGTGCAAAGGCCAGCCCCACTTCCAGCACATACTGAGTGAGAACCAGGCTTTATGACACCTGCTCCCCAAGCCCATCTCTCGGGTAATGTGGCTTCACCTCCTGGTCACCCCCCATCACCTCCTGGTCACCCCTCATCCCAGTCACCTCTGTCACCTCTTGGTCACCTCCATCACCTCCCGGTCACCCTCCATCTCTGCTCAGTAAGAACGTTCTCTTTCTTTACAAACATAGTTGTTGTTAGGTGCTGTCAAGTCATCTCCGACTCATCGCGACCCCATGCACAGCAGAACGAACACGGCTGGGTCCCATGCCACCCTCACGATCCTTGCTATACTGAGCCTATCATTGTAGCCACTGTGTCTGTTCATGTCATTTAGGCCCGTGCCCTTCTTCGTTCACCCTCCATGATACCCGTTTTCAGGGAATTGTCCCTTCTGACAACATGACCAAAGTAGGTGGGATGAAGTCTGCATTCTCACTTCTAAGGAGCATTCCAGCCGCACTTCTTCCAGGACAGATTTGTTAGTCTTTTTAGCAAACCATGGTATTCTTAGCATTCTTCTCCAACACCACAACTCAAAAGCATTAACTCTTCACAAACATAGGGGAGAGGTGAAAACCTAGGTGCTGGTTAACCAGAAGGGTCTTCTCTTAGAAAAGTGTTTTGTGTTGGACCTGAAATTAGGAAGGACACTTGAAAAGTCAAATCCCTTGTCTAAATGCTTTGTGCTCCTTGTTTAAGAGCTGTTTCTAAACCCTCTGGTGTTTTACTTCTTCTTGAAATTCATCTCCGTCTTTGACTCCTTCCTGGTCTTTAGGAGCTGGATATAAAATAGAGCCAGCCTCCGCCCACAGTGGAGCAAAAAGAATGGGGGAAGGAAGTCAGTGGGTACACAGTTCCCAGCCTGCCCACCACACGACCCTGGCCCTGCCTGTGGCACCGAAGGCTCATCCTGCCATGAGGCTTGGGGCTCAGGAGGACACCAACCCAGAACCTGAAAACTTGGCGTTCCAGACTCGGCTCTACTCGGCTCTCCCCGAGTTAGTCTCACTTCCCTGGCCAAGTCCCTCAAATCCTTAGAGCCTCCATTTCCTGTGAGGTGGGGGCAGACACGCAGTGGCAGACACTGATGCCAGTAAAGATAAGTGTTCCCACTTTTCACCTTTGTTCTTCTGCTGCCTGGTGCATGCTAAGGCCTGAGGGAACACTCCTGAGCGTCTTAGTCAAAGTGAATTAGGGTAACTGCCTTGGGTCTGCCCTCCGCCTGCCTCATCCACAGCCTGTTCTCGTGGTGGCAGAATGGCTGCACAGATCCAGCCTTTGTATCCCCACCCCTCACCATCCAGAAGAGAGCCTGGCTGCTTGAGCCAACCACCAGGGCCACACTGTGGCTAGGGTCAGTCCTGCCTCATGGTGGAAGAGGTAGTGGAGGCAGGTGTCAGGGGGCCTGCTGCACTGGGACAGACCTCCTCCTCCTGGGGCACCGTACTTTCCCTGCCACCATCCAGAACCCTGGAGAGAGGCCCCACACACACACGTCTCAGCAGCAAACCTCCCCGGGCTCCCAGACTGAGACCCGGCAAAACATGAAGATTCCACGTTAGCCTCTGAGTCTCTGGCCATGTCCTGCCCTTGTTTGCACGTCTGCTCTCTTTCCCAGGCACTCTGCAGGCAGAGGGCGCTTCTGCCTTGCCTCCTGGGACATCTCTGCTGACAGACGGCATGGCAGCTGGCCTCCCTCGTGGGGAGACCCCGTCACCTGCGGTCCTCGCCTGGCGTGTGGCCTGCGTGGCTTCACGCTGCCACACTTCGTCTGGGCTGGCATGTGACTCTGGGTGTTTTTGCAGGATGAGCCCAGGCTTCTACAGGAATGTGGTTAAGATTCAGAAGCATGTGACCTTCAACCAGGCAAAAGGCATCTTCGGCTTCACTGACAGCGACTGTGTTGGTAAGAGAGCCCGCCGTTGCCAGGGAGGGGAGTCCCCTCCACCCCTCCGAGGGACAGAGCTCTGAAGGAGGAGATGAGTGGGTCTCGGGGACTCAGAGTAGCCGCCCAGGAGGCTGGGGTCGAGTGTGCACTGTCTGCTGCAGGGTTTCAGCTCCGAGACATTCAACCTGCAGCTTGTCTCTTGGCATAGTAAACCCAGACATGGGGCTTTCTGTGGCCTATAAACAGCCAATGTCATGTGTACAGCTGCTTTGTGTGCTGGGTGAGGCTGGACCTTGGGCTGCAAGGCCAGCCCTCGCCTCATTTATCTATTTTAAGGTTTAGAAGGAGAAAAGTAAAGTATTGAGGACTCTGGTATCCCCACACTGGCTTGTGGGCTCCCAAGGATGGCCTTCAGTGGAGGCCCGACCTGCTGGTCCTGGTCTCCCTGGACCTCGTTTCCCTGCCACTGGGGCCTCTCCCCCATGTGCTCTCTTAGTCAATCTACCTGCCTGTCGGCTTCATGTCCCTTCTATTTCCGTGTCTCTCTCAGATGTTGGCTTCTCTCCTGTTAGACTTTTAGTCCTTGAGACTCATGGCTGGGTCTGCAGGCTCCCTCCCTGCCTCCCTAGGAGGCCTTTACTTGAGCTGCCAACCCTGGATAGCTCCCCAGGGTGCCCTGCAAGGAAGTGGCTACCCTGCTTGGAGGGGACACATGCTAGGGCCCATCAGGGAGGAGCCTCCGAGGATGATAAGACAGAGAGCAGTGCCACTGACGGCCCTTGTTGGAGGTCAGAGTCACTCCTGACAAGTGGGACAGAACCCTGTGCTTTGAAAGGGTTTTGTTTACCTAGTACTTCCGGCCTCTGGTGGCATTACAGTGACGGCTGTGCACAGCTGTAGAGGGAGGCAGTGTTACAGGGGGAAGAAATGTACCACTTGGATTCCGAGACACCCAGGTTTGAATCCTGGCCACTTACTTGCTGCCTGCTAGCTTTGGCAAGTGGCTGAAACAGTCATCATCCATCTAACACGATGAGGGTGGCTCACTCTCCATTGAATGGGAGGCATAACTGCACTCAGGTCAGGCCCTGCACATGGAGCCCACACCTTCCCTCCACAAACAGCCCCTGCTGCTATTGGAGGCTGCGTCCTCTAGAGGAGCCAGACTAGTGGAGCCCGTATAGAAATTGAGAGAGAGCTTGATTTCAAGGATTGGCTTGTGCCATCATGGGGTCCAGCAGCAGGCTGGAGACCTCTGCTGGCTCATGGGGTCACAGGGGCTGATGAACCCCAAATCAGCAGGTCGGGCAGCAGGCTGGAGACCTGCAGGCTTATGTGCCAAGAACCAGAGGTCAGAAGCTAAGAAGAGGACAGAGTCAGGAGAGAGAATCAGCACTCTGTCTGCTGGACGCAGGCCACGCCCCCAAGGAAGCGCCCCTTTCGCCTCACTGGCTGCTCACACCACATCACCACAGGGAAGGTGGTTACGCCACCTGCTCCAGTGTCTGCCAGGCCACAGAGATCATAGCCAAGTGCACACCCACCACTAACCCTCATGGCCACCTGTGTGGTGGTGGTGATGGCCCAGCTGGTTTCTTCCAGAGCAGGCCAGGAGCCCTGGAGATGGGATCTGGGGTATGGCTGTGCAGTGGAGAGAGTCAGACAGTGCTGCGCAGGGAGAGAGGCAAAGCAGTGCCCAGCAGCCCCGCCCCAGGGACGGCCTCAGCTGGGGCCTCAAACACTGTGCGTGCTGTCGAGAGGACGCCTGGACTCAGCTCTCCCAGGGACCACGCTGGACATGTGCGGGCAGGCATAGCACCCCATGTCCAGAATCATGCACAGGTCCCCACGCTTTGACCCAATAATTCCACCTCTGCTGACCTGAGCTGATAATACAGTAGCAACAGCATCTAAAATGCTGAACAGTTTTACGTAGCAAGATAGTCATCGTAACTTGGAACAACTGAAGGTGGCAAACAGCCTAACTGCCCAGTGGTTGCTGCTGTTGGATGCCAAGTCAGCTTCAACTCATGACAACCGTGACAGAGGACGGCCCAGAGAGTTTCCAAGGCAGTACCCTTACAGAAGCAGGTCTCCAGGGCTTGCTTCCGCAGAGCTGCTGATGGGTTCAAGCTGCCAACCTTACAGTTGGGAGCCACCAGGGCTCCTTGCCCAATAGTTAAGAGAATGGTTCAGTATGATGCATCTACAGGGGAGGATGCTTTTAATAACAATACAGATCAATGCTACAAAGTGGAAAAGATAAGGAAGTCTAAATATGGGCCATAAACCAAAAACCAAACTCACTGCCATTAAGTTGATTGCAACTCATAGCGACCCCCATTGGGTTTCCGAGGCAGTAAATCATTACAGAAGTAGATAGCCCCGTCTTCCTTCTGCAGAGTGGTTCATGGGTTTGAACCCCCAACCTTGTGGTTAGCAGTCAAATGCCTTAGGCACACCACCACCAGAGCTCCTTGAATATGTACTGTAGTCACAGTTAAAGTACATCAAGTAAAAACGTGGCAGGAAGCACGTGACTGGAGGTCCAGACACGGAACTGCAGGTTTTCCCTACTTTCCCTGATGTTTCAGATTTCTGTAATGACTGTAACTTTTTTAATGAGGGGAAACCTGTTTTTGCTAATTTCTGTAACTGGGATTCTAAGAGTTGGACGCAAATGATCTAACCTAACAAAGGTGCCAGAGGACCAGGCACTCCTGTGTCCTGTTAGGTGAAAGGTCTCCATGAGTCCGAGCCGGCTGGATGGCGCCCGCAGCAGCAGTGCCTGGGGGGGCAGAGCGGTGCGTGAGCTCACGTGTGGTGACCCTCTCTCTCCCTCAGGGAAGATCAGCTTCCCCGCGATCCAGGCCGCCCCCTCCTTCAGTAGCTCCTTCCCACAGATCTTCAGGGACCGGACGGACATCCAGTGCCTCATCCCCTGTGCCATTGACCAGGTCAGCAGGAGACACCTGAGATTTCCTGAGGAAGGAGGCGAAAGGGAGGGCGGAGGGAGGAGCACGAGGGTGTCCTGGGAGCATGTCTCCTGGGAAGCCCCTCAGCTGACCTGTCAGAGCTCCCTCCCTCCAGGATCCTTACTTCAGGATGACGAGAGACGTGGCCCCCAGGATTGGCTACCCGAAGCCCGCCCTGCTGCACTCCACCTTCTTCCCCGCCCTGCAGGGGGCCCAGACCAAAATGAGTGCCAGTGACCCCAACTCCTCCATCTTCCTCACAGACTCAGCCAAGCAGATCAAGACCAAGGTGAGCGTCCCTGGAGGGAGGGCAGCCTGGATGGGCAGAGATGCGTGGACAGACAGAGACATGTTCACACACAGGCACACGTTCACACAGACACATACAAAGACACACAGACACATTTACACATGGACACATTTACACGTAGACACACGGACACATTCATGCACAGAGACACACGAACAAGCACACCTGTGTCCTTCCAGCTCCAGCTCCCCTGGGGGGCAGGAGGGCAGGGTCCCCAGCTGTTGCCTGCACCCCGAGGCAGCCTCACATGGTCCTGGACAGCAGGTGAAGTTGGTGTGTCCTTCGTTTAGGTAGAGTTTTGTAGTTTGTCTCTTTCTCTTTTTCTGCTTTCCTTACCCACAGACACTGTCTGGCAGGCCATTGTAACGGTTTTCTTCACGGTCACAGTTCATGTGGGTGATATCAACAGATAGAAAAGACTGGCCATCTCTGAGCATCAGGGCGGCCGGCCACTGGGCCGGGCACTCTGGTCTGCTTTCTCGTTTCTCACTCGTCGTGGGATAGAGAAAGGGCTTCACCAAAAATGCGGCTGCGAGTCAGCAGCCCGGCCAGGGCTCCCCTGCCTGCACGGTGGGGCTGCCCCTCCCAGCCCGGGAGCCTCTTGGCTGAAGCAGGGCCGGAGGGCTGGTTCCTGTTAGAGGGCTGCCTCCAGGACTGCTGACCGCTCGCTCATTCACTGACAGTCCATCAGCCCGTGCAGTGAGGGCTCAGTGAGTATTTGTTGAGTCACCAGAGAGACTAGAGGTAGAGATTCGTCTTCGTGTCCTTGTCACCAGCCCCCAGCTGGGTACTGAACTGCTGGCCCTTCTGTAACCCCGCGTGCATGGCCCTGTTGATATTTTGTTTACACAGCATGTGTCCGTGGGGTGGACTGTTCCCACGGGATCCTGTCAGGCAGCCGTGAGTCAGGGCCTGGCCCTTCTGGAAAGCCCCAGCAGGTCCTGGTGGACAATGGGGAAAGTGTCCCCACCCTCAGTGGAATGTCGGGGCACTTTCTTTCCCTTTCGTTTCTGGCTGTGGTTTCCAGAGCATGGACACGGGAAGGCAGGCCGGGCCCACCAGCAGAGCCACCCGGCATTTGTATCCTTTGGCTTTTGGGAAGTTGTCTTAGTGTTGGTAGTGGCTCTGGGGCATTTCTCACTCATTGGAGCTGGCAGAAACCCCGAGGGCTGGGTGAGCAGTGACAGGAAGTCAGAGCCCACAGGTGGGGGGGCGGGCAGGATAGGCCAGACCCAGGTGGTCATTCTAAAGCTCCTTGCCCATCTCAGCCCCAGCACAGGAGCCAACCCCAGCCCCACCCACTCCACACCCCCACCACCCCTCAGATGCTTGTGCCTGCTCCCGTTTATGGGAAGGAGTGCAGCTTCCGTTTGTCACCTTGATCCTGCAGCCCCCCGGCCCCCGGTCCCCTTCAGCTGCGCTGCACTTGCTCTGCTCACCTCCCTGCAGCCCTGCCCAAGGGTCTCCAGCGATGCCACTGTCCCTGACCAGCCCTCTGTCTCCCCACCTCGTGAGAGGCAGTTCAGAGGCTAACACTTGGCATGCTCTGCAGGGAGGCCAGCCTGCAGGCCCCCACTCCTCCCTGGCCGTGGGGATTGCTTCCCCTCCTGACCTCCCTTTGGCCTCCGTCCCATGGCCGCTCCTGGGCGCTCTGCTGCCCCCCGGCCACCTGTCCCACAGCAGCACCACCCCCACCCCCCGGCCACCGTTTTCATGCAGGACGTGGCTTGTGTTTATCCTTTCTCTGATGTCTGAGGAGACTGTAGGACATCTCCCCATATTTCAGCACAGGGGGTCCTTCCCCCATGACTCGGGGAGCCCCCGCCCCCCCAGGGAGCCCCCACAGCTCATGTCAAGTCAGCAGGAAGGAGCCGTTGGCAGGGCCCTCCACTGCCAGGCTCGGCCTCCTTCGCCCAGGCCTCAGTGCACAGAAGACAGCCTGGGCTTGACTTCCCACACGTGGCTCAGGCCAGGAGTCCACACAGTGGGCACAGAGACTGACGAGCTTCCCATCCCCGCATGGGCCGGAGACTGACAGGTGTCCCGTCCCCTCACTGCCCCGGGGACTGATGGGCATCCCATCCCCCTACTGGCCCGGGGACTGACGGGCGTACCGTCCCCTCACTGCCCCAGGGACTGATGGGCGTACCGTCCCCTCGCTGGCCTAGGCACTGACAGGTGTCGTGTCCCCTCACTGGCGCAGGTCAACAAACATGCGTTTTCTGGAGGGAAGGACACTGTGGAGGAGCACAGGCAGTTTGGGGGCAACTGTGACGTGGACGTGTCCTTCATGTACCTGACCTTCTTCCTTGAAGATGACGACAGGCTTGAGCAGATCAAGCAGGTGAGCATGAGGCCGCGTGCCGGCCAGCCAGCCCCATGGCCGTGTGTTAAGCAGTGGTCAGTGCTTCTTCATTGCCCACCTAAAACCAGAGTAAAGTCAAGGGGGTTAGTCACAGCTCCTAACCATGAGCTGAGAAACTCCAAGAACAGACAGCTCACAAGAGAGAAAGTGCAGACGGCTGTTTATTTAGATGGATTGTTGCAGTGGCGGCAACAGTGGGCTTAAACAATTGCGGGGATGGTGTGGGGCCAGACAGTGCTTCGTTCTGTTGTGTATGGGGTTGCTGTGAGTGGGAGTCAACAATGGCGTCTGTCAACAACGTCAGCAGCATCACCATCTAATTAGTAACCACAGAGGTTTACTAGGCATCAAAGAAATACACTCCAACAAGACCGACTTTCGCCTGGGCAGGGTGTGGTGCTGTTGCAGCTCCGTGACTACGGACCAGGTGCTGGGAGCCCGGCCAGGTGCTCCTGCACAGCTCTAGGTGGGCTTCGGCCGTGAGCACGATGAGCCCAGAGCATGTCTGTAGGCTTGCCTTCAGGTGCGCCGCTCCTTCAAGTCTGCTCCAAGGGAGGCATCCTGAGTACAGAACCGGCTTTTCACACACAGACATTGAACAAGATGAGGGCAGCAGCGCTGAGAACGCACTGGCTGTAGGGCGGATGGTTATGCCGGTGTGAACTACTGCAAGAGTGTCAGAGACTGAGCAGACTCCATCCTGTCTGGCCCCAGCTGTCCGCCCAGCTCGTCTTCCTCTGACCCTCACTGCCAGAGCCAGGTCAGAGGTCACGAGGCCAAGAGCACAGTCCTCCAGCCTGCCAGG